ATCATGTGCTTTTATGCCCAGAGCCATGATCTCCAGTGGGCGTTGTATCCGACTTCGGACGGTCTCTATTTCACAGGAGACTTCTAGTTTCAACTTTCCGTCCTGATTCCTACTGGGAGTCGACCTTGGCAATGTAGGCTGAAATGACGAGTCAGTATAAGGCAGACCTGAACACCAGGATGAACGCAAACTTACCGATGAGGTCAACAACACGGCGAGAGTAACCCCACTCGTTGTCGTACCAGGCGACGAGCTTGACAAAGTTGGGGTTGAGGGAGATACCAGCCTTGGCATCGAAGATGGAGGAGCGTTCATCACCATTCAGATCGCTGGAGACAATGTCGTCCTCAGTGTAGCCGAGGATGTCTAATAACAAACCCGTCAATAAAATTCACCGTGAAAGGAGCTCGGCAGTTCACGTACCCTTGAGCTCGCCCTCCTCGGAGGCAGCCTTGATGGCCTGCTTGATCTCGTCGTAGGAGGCACCCTTCTCGAGGCGGCAGGTGAGGTCAACAACGGAGACGTTGGAGGTAGGAACACGCATGGACATGCCGGTCAGCTTGCCGTTGAGGGAAGGAATGACCTTGCCGACGGCCTTGGCGGCACCAGTCGAGCTGGGAATGATGTTCTGGGCAGCGGTACGACCACCTCTCCAGTCCTTGTTGGAGGGAGCATCGACAACCTTCTGGGTGGCGGTGTAGGAGTGGACAGTGGTCATGAGACCCTCAACAATGCCGAACTTGTCGTTGATGACCTTGGCCAGGGGCGCAAGGCAGTTGGTGGTGCAAGAGGCGTTGGAGAGGATCTGGATGTCGGACTTGTAGCTGGTGTTGTTGACACCCATGACGAACATGGGGGCATCAGCAGAAGGAGCGGAGATGATGACCTTCTTGGCACCACCCTTCAAGTGAGCAGAGGCCTTCTCCTTGGTGGTGAAGACACCAGTGGACTCGACGACGTAGGCAGCGCCGGTCTCAGACCAGGGGATCTGAGAGGGGTCCTTCTCAGCGTAGAAGCGGATCTTCTTGCCGTTGACAATCAGACCCTGGTCGTAGGTCTCGATAGTGCCCTTGAACTGGCCGTGAGTGCTGTCGTACTTGAGCATGTAGGCCTGTAGCATTCGTATCGTGCACGGTCAGTTTCTGGGGTCAAAAAAATGGGAGAATCTAGCTGAATGGCTTGGAGCACGTACAGCATAGTGAACCTCGATGAAAGGGTCGTTGACAGCAACGACGTCGACTAGGCCGTGGCTGAGGCTGTTCAAATCAATCTATTAGAATAACCAGCCCATTGATGTAGGTCGAAAGTGCTACTCACGCGTTGCGGAAGACCTGCGATGGCTTGTTAGCTTCTGGATATCCAATGGGGGGCCAAGGTATGTTGAACTTACGATTCTTCCAATGCGACCGAAGCCGTTGATACCAACCTACAAGAGAAGCTTAGTTCATCGTGCCATGACGCATTGAAGCAAAGCCGCTTCACAGATCAGAACCTCCGTACCTTAGGAGTGGCCATTGTGTAGATTTGTCTGGTACTGAGTGGGGCAGGCGTTAGTTAGGTTTTGAGAGAGACAGTGAAGAGGATATACTATTGTAGAAGGCTGAATTGAGGATAGATGGATAGGTACTTACTTTATAGAATGATAGAAAGAAGAGACAGTAGGATGATGATGATGATGATGATGGGAAGAGAGTAGAAGAGGAGAGAAAAAGCCAGCAGCGGGGGAGGGGCAGTAGAAAAGGCAATGGCTTGTTGTATTCGACTGACGCAACGACCTGGTCACCTTAGGAGCTTGCGCGCCAGTCAAAACCGCACACCGGGCGGACAGACGGGGCTAAAGGCCAAAATAGCTACTCTAGCCTATGTACTGCAGCTGTTTAGGTTGCTTCATAATAATTGATTGCTACGGTAATGGCTTGACAACGGGTCTCCTCCGGTCAGCTTGTGTGCTGGATTCCCGATATGCGCCGCCCAGCAGCTCCTCAGCAGCTTTTCCGGTTTCATACACCGGGGAAAGCAGGAGACTCACGATATTTGGATGGCCTGCCTCCCCTCGGTAGCTGCCGTGTTGGCCAATAAGCGTGCTGCATGCTTGTCGAGCCGGGTACTCTCTCCTACAAATCTCGTGAATCTTCTGCCAGTTCTTCGGAAAGACTGCTATCAGATTACGGAATACCTAGGTTATTATGATAGAGAAACTCCTGTTGCATTCTCACCCGCTTATGCTCGCTTCGGAGGGGGAAAGGGGACCGAAGTACCTCTTACTCATGAGGTGGTGGGCAACCGTCTTTGGATGATGTAATAGAAACGGGAGTATTTGTCCAGATACAACAAGAGCCCAAAACATCCCACCAAAAACACTCTGGAAGAGGGGCTGCCCAGCTTTTCCGCTTTGGGACCATGATTCCTACATCGGAACAATGTTAATCCACTGCCCCCTCAGCGCCCTCTCCCATTCAGGACTTCTGGAATGGGCGGAGCTCTTCATAGCTTATCTCCAACGCTGCGGTCTCTCACCGTAAGCTCGAGAGGGCTTGAAGGGCTTCTCCGTACTCCAGAAATTCTCACCGGCTGCCAGTAAAGTGTCATGTGCTACGCAGTTTTTTTTTTTTTTATCTCCATTTGTTTTCTTCACTTTGCTTCCTGAGGACTTGAAATCTCTGCTCTTTTAACCGGCGGACAATTGGAGGACATCAGTAAAAGGCTTGTTGTGCTTTGCCGATATGCCATGCTTTTCCTCGCCCGGTTGAGATTTGAGACGCCTGCAGCCATTGCATGACATTTGCCGGATGCGCCATGATCACGAGTTATTGGATGTAGTCGTTCTAGCAACTATTGTACAGTTGATATTAGACCTCGTAATTCTATCGAGCACTTGTTTAGCATGGAGTTCGCTCTATCCTTCTGATGAAGCATCCAAGGATCTACTCCTCGGTGCAGATTTCCAGGACTGAGAAATGAAATCGAAATGCAACCATGGCCTGCAATAAATCAAAATAAGCCGACCGCAAAGATGACTTGTTTCACTCATGTTCTCATCGCTGGATCGCCCATTCGATGGGACAATTCGTCGGATGAGCCCTCATACATAAGCTGGTGTCCATATAGTGGTCAGGAACCAAGTGACATTATTAATACAATGTGATCGATTGCGACTATCACGCTGCCGTTAATCATGTCCCAAGTCTAGCAACTCCTTTGCAATCTGGATCACCTCCAAGAGTCTGCATTGAAGTCGCCTCTATAAATACAGGTGAAAGAAAGAAGTTCTTGTCCACAGGTATCAAATAAGAATATCCAATCCAGAAGCTTACTCTTCCTTGACACCGCCGCGCCAGTTCTTCTCGGCGTTCTCGACGGAGGCCTTGTCGCTCTTGACCTGACCCTGGTTCAGGAAGCTGTTGCCAGCTTTGAAAGGACGCTGAAGATCTCCAGTGGCGGGCTTTCCGAACACGTGGATCTTAACGAGGTTCGACTCCAATGCGCTCTTCAGAGGGATGATCGACTGAATCAGGAGGGGGTTGGTGTACTTGAAGTACAGGTGCATGACCCCCATCATGCCCACTCCCATGAGCTGCGACTTCATCAATTGGCGCAGTTGTCCCTTGTCATAATCCATGTTGGTGGTCGTCACGGGACGAGGCTCTTCACCACTGCCCATGGGGGCAGGCTCGACGTACTTCAGGGTAGTCATGTCTAGTAGCAATTCCGTTAGCTTCCACCACAGCTCCCCAGTACAACTGCGGATAAGTGCGTACCCTTCTTTTGGTTGATCTTGGATTGCGTATACATGTAAATACCAAGAATGATCACGTTGGACGCGAGATATAGGCAGCGGACGATGAAGAGGACATCCGGGTCTTCAAAAGGAACCTTCTTCGCCAGCTGCATCATCACAAGGATGATGGCCAGGTTAGTTCTGCAGAGATGAAGGCATTATCAGTCTTATTTGACCTTTGCCAAAGGAAATAATTATGGAAGACGGATTGGTATGGCATCAACAAAGGAGCAAAGAGGAAAATGCACTGAGAAGACTCACACTTGAGGATTAACCATTTTGACAACAGGTGATGGGTCCTTTGACGAGGTAGATCAAATACTGGCAGGACTGAATCTGAAACTGAAGGGCCGAGGAGGGAAGCGCGTACAGGCAGAACCTTTTGACAAAGTGCGGACCTGGAGCCCCAGAAAGTCGAACAGCTGTCCAGATGGCGTGAGATCACGTGAGAAAATCCCTTCGCTGTGGCGGCCGAAATGTGGCACGTGAGCTTATCTTTAGATTGTGATAACGCGATATTGCCTTAGTTTGTCAATAGGCTGGGTCCTCAGGCACGGTTTTGGTTTAAGGCATCAAAGTCACCTGTTCAGTTATGTAATATGCGCTCGACAACCACAACACTCTGCAGCGTCAGTTGTCATCCTCAAGCTTGCTCAGCTGCTTGACATGAGCATTCACTCGACTACAACTATCTGAGATATTAGTCCTCTCAAGTGACAACATGGGTTGAGATATATTCAATGTCGGATGACCATTGTCAATGCAGAAACTTGGCTGAAAGCCGTACCATAACTGAGGGGCTGGCTTCAGCCATGCCGCGAAGCCTCAGCATCATCATAGACGGGCCATACTTATTCTACTAACCAATGTTTACTGACTAAGATGCAGACAAAGCTACAATTGATCGACTTATTTAACCGAGTTCAAGCTCACCTGGCGTCGTGACTTGCTCAGTATGCCTTCTCAGCCGGCTCTTCGAAGCATCTGAGTCGACTCGGGACCTGCTGAGGATTGTTCCTAATCGGGATTAGCGCTGCTCCACGATCAACGCCTTTAGCGACCAGGATGGCTTTGACATTTCTTACTCCTTCATCCATCAACAACGCGCGTATCTGAGGAGTTTTGAATCATCACAACATCCACCATCGTCGTCCAAATCATCTGAAACTTGTTCAACGCGACATTTTTATCTCTGCGACTCCGAATCTCGATAGTTTTCAATATGCCCGGCGGAAAGGGAAAGTCTGTTGGCGGAAAGGCTGGTTCGAAGGATGCTGCGGGGAAAACTCAGAAGTCTCACAGCGCAAAGGCGGGTTTGCAGGTCAGTATATCGCGTTTTTTTTTTAGTGCTATGCACAGCAGCAGCATTGTTTCATGCCGTCTGATGTCTCTGGCAACGTCTTTGCGATGAATTGGAAGTTGCGGACACTTTCCTTGGATGAACGCGTCTTCACGTACGATGTTGAAGAGCTCCTTGGCCGGTCAACAATTTTATCGGATCGCGAAATGCGCGCAGCCTAGGAGATGCAACATCTTGCGAGTCTTTATTGCCTTCGAGATTCACCACCTGTTCCTATCTTCAACCCATGACCTCGGTTGAAGATTTGCTCGGACACCTTGAGCTAACATGAGTCCTCATTTAGTTTCCCTGCGGTCGTGTTAAGCGTTTCTTGAAGAACAACACGCAAAATAAGATGCGAGTTGGCGCTAAAGGTATGATTACCATCTTCCTCAAGACTCCCTCATTTTACCCCCTCATTTTCCCCATCGACGTGTTCTCTTTTCCTGATTATATTGACACGCATATTTTTAGCTGCGGTCTATGTCACAGCTGTTCTGGAATACCTGACTGCGGAAGTCCTCGAACTTGCCGGTAACGCCGCCAAGGATCTGAAAGTCAAGCGTATCACGCCCCGCCACCTGCAGCTCGCCATCCGTGGTGACGAGGAGTTGGATACTTTGATCCGCGCCACCATCGCTTTCGGTGGTGTCCTGCCACGCATCAACCGTGCGCTGCTGCTCAAGGTGGAGCAGAAGAAGAAGAACAAGTCCGAGGCTTAAAAAACGAACAAAACGGCGAATACCCCACGAATACGGCGTTTGATCTTGATGATGAATGAAGAGGTTCTGCTCATGAGCCCGGCTACAGCATTTCTCCTTCTCGCTTCACGAGGCTGTGCCTGAAAACAGCCATGCTCGAGATGCCGCAAGGCGATAACCGTTACGACAATAATTTCAGGCGCATCCTCCGCCGTCGACTCGTCCCATCACCACGCTGCAGCCGGAATTGTTCTACTCCATCTTCTTGCCTCCTCGCTTACCTCTTTCCTCATCTCTTTTTTTGATTCGGTTCTTCTATCTTCCTAGTCCGTTTATACCGTTTTGTCGTGGCTTGCCTGGGCGCTATAATGGGAATTAAGAGGAAATCTCGGTAGTAGGAAATGTCTTTCTAAAAATGCCTGTTTTCTCTTCACTTTTTCTTTTCTTTAAGTTGATCAACGGTGTTGTGAGTTTCATTATTTTACCTATTTGTTATATTTATCCTTAGTTCTTTTTGATGAAATTGTATCAGTAGGCCTCATGCTTTAGTCACTATCTAATGTATACCTATAGAACAGTATTTCAATTTGGTCCATTGGGGTACGAGAAATGCGATGGCTTACCTTGATAGCTTTTGGGCATAAAAATTTTGTAACCGTACCGGTACATCTATGCGTCAAATTGAATGAAACCGCGGTCTCAGCCTTGCAGCATATTTCGGTTGACTAGTAATGAATTGCCGAAGGAATGCCATAGGCTGTACGGAGTATGCACGATATATCTCCATGCATTTCCTATTATGATAAACAAGCCTTCGGCTCCTCGCTTCGCTCGTACACTATTGCGTGTTACTGATATGCTATTCATGACACTGGCCGCTACATAACTACCAAAAGGAAGTAGAAGCTAAAGTCATTTACTAAATAACACATACATTGATTGGAGACCTTGAGAAAGATGAGAACTAGAAATCGGTTTCAGGAACTGAGGAAAAATGGAACAGAAGGCAAAGGAGGGCAGAGCCTCGAAAAAGACCCCGACAAATTGTAAATGATGCAGAGAGCCACCGGGTGAATAAATCCTGATGCAAACCATTGAGCTGAGTACTCTCGAGCAGATAGTCGAGACGCGCTTCTTTCTTTTATTTGTTTCTTCCTCGTTGCCTGCATTTGGGTACAACGCAAGGGGAGTTGCTCGGTTGTTCGACATATGGCGATTGGACATGTCAACTCGAAAACACTGCGCAAATGTCCGATTCATCTTGTTTTTGGTCCGTTGTCGTTGACATGCAAGTCCATGAACCAGCCACATGTGCAGGCGAAAGCGGGGGCGTGATTTTGATGAAGCATATTCGTCCAGTCGCTCAAAGCAGCTCGAATCCATGAACGAATTAGAGAAAAATAGTGCTGAAGATTAAAACAAGAACGGAAAAGAAAATAAAACCGAGAAATCAAACATTAAACAATGCAAATCGCCCCTTATCCAAAAGCAACAATATGCGAATGCTGGTATGCCATCTCTCTTGGTGTTGGTCAAAGACATGATGAGATATGTCTTATTGTCGTTCTTCGTAGATTTCCAGTTAAAACAATTTTAGTGTGCTTTCCGCCGCAAACGCAAGATCGGAACAAATGACACAGAAATGAAAAGAGGATGTTTTCTCGCATGCAAGGCGCCCGCGTCTCAGAAGTTCAGAGCTTTCTTTTTGTGATGGTGTTCTGAGAAGAAAAGAGGAAAAAAAGTACCGAGTCCGTCCAAACAGTGTGCCTGATGGGCTGCCCCAAAATAACGTCTAAAACTTGACTAGATCAGAGAAAAATTTCTTTTGATTCTCTTGGAGTGTCATCGCGTCATCCCTCATCGAATCGTAAGCCAGTAATCGCACATCTGGATCAGGCCTCGTGATATAAGAGTCGTATTCATCTCGCGGCAAAGCAATCTAAACAAGTTCCGTTGTCTTCGTCTCTCATCGATCATGTGCTTTTTTTTTGGTCCAGCATCTACTCCACAATTATCTCCACTCCAGAATTGGTGCGCAATTCATCACTTCCACGCGATTGATGTCCGTTCGATCGGCGAAATCCCGAGCCTTTTTCAGGCATTGGGCCTCTAGGCTGCCTAATGGGCATGCGCTCCTGTGACTGACCGTCAAATCCAAGTCCGATGGATCGGTTACTACCAATGGGACCAGCGCTGGAAGGCTGACTTTCCGGCTGTTCCCAAGAGAACATACCCCTCAATCTCCTGGGGCTCGCATTCGGCCCTCCGATTCCAGTGCCAAGGGACAGGCTGCTCAGACTGTTCACCAAGAGATTATCATCCCGTTGCAAACCAAGGGAGGAGCCAGACGGGGCTGGAGTCAGGGTCGGGGTGTTCGATGCGCCGCTAGTCACACCCTCATAATGTTGTAAACGTGTGCCATTGGATTGCAAGGCTGCTGGAAAACTCGCGGAAGAAGGCACGGGAGAAGGAGTATACGAGCGGAGATCGGCGAACGACTTGGCCGCGCGGAGATTCTGGGTATTTCCGTAGTTGCCAGGCGAATCAAGAACACCGAGGAAGCCGGAAGTCTGTCCACGAAGAGTGCTAAAAGGACCAGGCCCTCCCTCGTTCCTGGCCTCGCTGAAGTCAATGGTAGCTGCGCGGTTCAGTCCACGACGAGCGGTATCGGCTGGCTGAACCGCGGTCGGGATGGAGGACAGAGGCGGACTGACGTTAGTGCCAGGAGCGACTTTGAAGACCTGCACCTGTCGCTGTTCGCCAGTGCCACGAGAAGCATGACCAAGACCCATGTTGTGCGCGAGAGTGTGGACCGTCCGGCGCTGGATAGGGCTGAGAGTCGTCGGGAAGAGCACGGAGTCACGGCTGGGATCTTCCTTGAAAAGAAGGAGCTGGGAGTAATAGGAGAGCGTTGTGCTGTCATTCAGATCGACTTCTACAATCAAAGTGAAATTAGCATAATCGAACGCAACGAAAGCAGCGGAACGCTCAAAACAGATTGTGGAAGAGTCGAATGGCTCGCTCCGACTTACCCAGCTTTTGGCCACGCTGCGAAACCGGAGAAGGAGACGTCGCAGGAATGTGGGACGCGAGGGAAGACATGGAACTCTGAGTCTGAAGCTGAGAGACAGCCATGGGCCTGTGCTGTTCCTCCAGCTGACCGCGACGTTCGCGCTTCTCCCGCTCGATGCGTTCGCGCTCCTGCAGAGGGAGCATCTTCTTGTACTCGACCCGCAACTTCCGACCTTGCAGCTCGAAGTGGTTGAGAACCTCGATGACGGTGGCGGTTTCCTCAGCAGAGGTGAAATTGGCAAAGGCCAAACCCCGGAACACACCATTGTCAAAGTGATAGTTGAACGCATATGGAAGCGGGAGGTTCAGCTCAGTCATCAATTGCACCAACTGCTCCTTCTTGACAGCAAAAGGGATGTTCTTGATCACGATCGCGGTCGGAATCAACTCGTCCTCTCCCTCCGAGGGACCGGTGGCTTCGGAACGCACCGCACCGCTTTGGAGAGGTCCGGGTCCGAGATTCGAAAAGGGACTGGGAATACCAGGCTGCTGGTCAAGCCAGGTCTGTATTCTTGAGTTAGCATAACAGACAAAGACAATATCTCAGGGAATTTCAATTCAGCACATACCGTAGGCAAACCCGCCCGACCAGTGCGCGAGTTGGTCTTCAGACTGGCCGAGGCCGAACGGATGGCTCCCAAAGTCTGAGCGTTGGCAAACCCATTTGGGTTCCAAGTCTGAGAACCTGGAAGATCATAAGCGTAAGATGGATTGTGCAATGACGGATTCAAGCGCTCGAGACGGCCGGTGTCGTAGCGAGCCATTGAATCATCGTACAGATTGACAGGCATTGGGCCGTATGCATCGAATTGTCGCGAGGGCTGACGGTGGAGAGGCTGCTGGTGACGCTGAGAGCCAGGGGAACGCGCAGAAGAATTGTCGTGATACATCTCCTGTGATTGTTGATAACTCATGGCGGCCGAGAAACGAGAATTCCCAACTAGCGACCAACCGTGGAATGTGGGCACTGGAATACCCACCACACAACAGACCCGGTCAATGAGAACCCGATAAGCCTAAACGAAAGTTCTCAGAACATAGGAGCTACCTGGCGCAGGCGTCGTAAGCTGGGAATTAAAACGGTTTGCCGAACAAAAAAGCAGACAACCTGGTCGAGAGTGAATGAGACTTGGATGAGGGGGGTTGATTTTGGCTCCGGGGAAAGCGACAGAAAAAGTTTCCCACCGGCGGAGGCGGTTGATGTCTCTGATTTGAGGAAGAAGAAAATGAGAAAAATAAAGACGTGTATCCGCGATACAACACAAGCGACAAGAAAAAGAGAAAACGCAAGAATTCTCTAGATAAATCGCTCTCACTAAGAATGAAAATAATCAGTCGTCACGCTTGATATCATTAAAGACCAGGCGCTTTCAGGTGTAGATTTTCCTGGGTTTGTCGTATCCTTCCTCGTCCTCCGCGAATTATCCGAAGCAAAGAAGCGACGGTCTCAACGGAGGTCGTCAGGAAACGGAAGATGACACGAGATGAGAAGAGAGAAAGGGAAAGGGAAATCGCCACTACCCGGAACACAGACCACCTTCGCGAAAGCTTGAGACTGGTTGCGGATGTGGTTGTGATGGTGGTGGTAGTGAGGGGGGGGAAGAGAGAGAGAGGGAGGCAGCCACAGTGAGGGACTTGAGGGGGGTGAAATGTGGAAACCTGAGGCAGAAAGATAGGTCACGATCAAGTACTTTACGGTCAGGTACGTATCTTGACCACCGTTCCCAGCCTCATAACCCACCTCAGTGTAAGAAGTGGTAACGGTACTCCGTATGGTAAGAATGATCAGGAATTATTGGTCGCGAGGAAGAAAAGAAAAAGCACGCACCAGGAGAACCGGCAGCCGGCGACCGCTCACTCACAACGAGGAGCAAGTTGAGCAACTAAAGTGAGGTATTCCGTAGTAGTACGGGACTAAGGTAAGTACTAGAGGACCCGGCGATCAACGA